CACAGCACCTGCCTTACAGAAGCTTTATTCATAGTTATCAAACAATGGAAGTAACCAAGATGTCCTCCAGTAAATGAATGGATAAACCAGTGGATAGACCAATAATGGCAAATCCATACAATGGAATAATATTCACCTTTTACAAAAATGGAATAAGGTATCCAGTCTTACACAGAGATGAATCATAAATGCATACTCAAAATGGGCAAGCCAGTCTGAAAAAGCTACAGGTGTATGGTTCTTGTTTTCTTCCTATGACATTTGAAAAGACAAACGTATAAAGGTGGTAACAGATTTGGACTTGGGTCACTGTCTTTCTCTCCACATCAAATTCTACCTCTTCCTCAGGTGACCCTGACATCACTGGAAAGGACCCTGACCTCATGCCCCGAGTGCTTCAGCAGCAGCAACTCTTAACCCCACCACTTCTGTCATCTCTTTTTCTTGATTATCAGGGACTGCTCGACACCACACACATATACCCCAGCCTTGGGCTGTAGCTTCAAGTCTGTAGCCTCATCTTCTCTTGATTCCCTGGGGCAGGTCTCTTTGCTCTTTACCTGTTGTCCCTGGCAGCCCTTCTCCCTGGCACTTGTTAAAGCTTGTGTCTGGTTGTCCCTCCAAAACCTCAAGTGGTCATAGGTGGGCTTTTCAGAAGTGGCTCCATCTAGAGTGTATGATGTCGCATTTGGTTTTACTCTCTTCAGAAAAAGTAATAAGAACTGTGGGAGTAATAAAACCCAAAATGTATGAAGTGCTCTAAAGGTTATAACTGCATATATGTTTAAGTGTATAAGATAGATAACCATATTACTGAGTGTTTTTTGGATCACTGAACAAAACTGATTGCACTCTGTTTGAAAGTCCACTTATATGCTTCAATTTTGTAACTTGAACAACTATTTCTAAGATGAGAATATGTAATCTATTAACTAGTGATTTCTTACTGTTTATTTTTGAAGTTTTGTATTACTTGTACCCTTTTTTTGTTTTTTTTTCTCCTTAAATAAAAAAAATAATAATAATTAAGTGTGATCCTGGGATTGAAGGTGTGTGATTACTAAATTAGTCCACTGATTGGTTTGCCAAAGATCTTGGTGTGGATAATGGGAAGTCCCACCTGGGTGTGAGTGCTATCTGCCCTAAGGGTGTGTAATTTGGGTAGGCTATAAGGGACAAAATAAACTCTTGTTGCTTGCTTTGCTGCCTCCTGTGTTTTGCCTTCCATGCCATGAACTGCTTTTGCTCCTCAGTGATGCCCCTCTGCCACATCACCCTACCTTAGAGTCAGCTGATTATGGACTGAAACCTCTATAAACTGTGAGCCAAAATACCTTTTCCTTTTAACTTTAGGTGTGGGGTATTTTGTCTCAGCAACAAGAAGAGTAAACAGCATCCTTTTCCCTCTCAGGCAGACCACCTCCTATCGCTGTCAATTCAGCGCTTTCTTTACCAGTGCTTAAAGTTTCCTTAGCTCTCGGTCCTTCCAAAAACTGCTTTGTCAGCCCATGTGTGTGGATGGATCACCTTACAAGCTTCTAGTCCCACCCTGCAAAGGACAGCTAGAGAAGACCACCTGCCCACATGCTCTGGGGAAACTTTTAGTAAAGTCACAATCTATTTCATCTGGGCCACTGTTGCTGCCAAGAGTCTTCTATCTTTCCACAGCCAACTCTCTCCTTGGAGTGGAATTCTCACCATTTCCTGATCCCCACCTCACCTTTCCTCCTCCTTCCCTGGTGAAGAGCCACAGGCCTCCTTGCCTCACACTCAGGATGCCCTGCAGCAGCACCTTTCAGCTCACGTGAAGGTGCCCTGAGTCTCAGCCTCTCCCTTCTCCTCTCAGACTGGACCTCATCAATCATCCTTCTCTCTCATCTTTAACTTCCTGGTCTAACTGGAAATTCCATTCAAAACATGAACATCCTCAAAGCTTTGCGCACTTAAAAGAAGAAAACACAAGCACTTCTTGGCTACTCGTCCTCCTTGCTCTCTGCCCTCTGAGCCCCTGTTGCAGGGCTCACCCACAACTGGCCTCTATCATCTCCACCTCCTGTTGCTTAGCCTGTCATAGCCCCCACAAACCATCTGGCTGAGGTCACCAGCAGACCCTCACTGCCAGGCTGCAAGGCGTCTTTTTTGGCCCTGTCGTGGGTGACCCGAGTTGCAGTACTCTTCACCCTGAAAGGGACTCTAGACGCTACCCTTCCTGAGTACTCTTCCTGCTCCCGGTTGCCCTTGCTTGGCTTCCTGTACAGCCCCGTGCCCAGTGCCCGTCCACAAATGGCAGCAGTCCTCAGTTTCTCCCAGTTCCCCTTCATCTTTTCTGGAATTTTCAGCATTCTTGGGATACAATCCCCACCCTCATGTCTGCATTTAGGTGCCTCTCTCCTACTCTGACCTTAGCGTTCCTTTGACATTGCTCCCTTTTTAAAAGTTAATATGATTCATTTCCTAGCTACCAAGTACTGGGCTGAGTTCTTTACACCCACAATTCTCATTTAATCTTTAACAACCACTTGAGATGCTTCCTGAGGAAAATGAGTTCACAGAGCCCACGAGTCAGCCCAAGATTACATAGCAAATAAACAGAGGAGCTAAGACTCAAACCCAGATCTCTGACCCTGAGACCCTTACAATGCTCCTGTACATTGGCAACAATGCTCCTGCACAGGGCAACAAAGAAATCCCCCCAATTTTTTTTTGTCTTTTTCCTTTTTATTGGTACCAGGGATCAAACTCACGACCGCCTGCTTGCAAGGCAGGCGCTTATGCCACTGAGCTAAATCCCCAGCCCCGAAACCCCCAAAATTTAATGTAAGATTGTGCATCTGAGCATCTTCTGGGATTAGGGTCACGTGGTATTGTAAAATTCTCACAAGAATCCAGGATCCAAAAGAGATGAAGAACTTCTGGGCTATACAGTGAACTCCTTGGAGTGGAGCCACAGGCCTAGCACATAACAGACCTTAGGGAACCTGGCCGAGCTCTTCCATTCAGCCACGCTATGAAGGAATCCCACAGGGCTCAGACCCACAGAGAGGCAAGTGGACTGGCCAGCACTCTCATCACTTCCCTTCTGTTTTGGCTACAAGTTGCCTCAAATCCCCTGACAACCTCCTTCCAATTAGCTGACCTTCACATGTTCCTTTTCTTCTGTTGAGACATTTAGATGCATACCGTGTGCTAGATGCAATGCTGAAGGCTCTATATATGCCATTTACTCTTCGTAACAGCTGTGCAAGGTGACTACTATGGTTCTTCTTGGTTACGGATAAGGAAACATGCTCAGAGAGATAAATGGCCTCCTTTATCTTCTCTGAGTCTGATGAAGAGTCCTGGTTTCACATGTGAAAAGTTTGCTGGGAAGGGACACCAATAAGTTCAACTCATGCAAAGTAGCCCCAGTGGCTGACCAGGCTGGCCAAGGGCCAGTTTTCAAACCAGAGCTACCAGGGCTATGTCCAGGAGCTGCTGGCTCTCAGAGTAGCTGACGGGCAGCAGGAAGACCGTTTCCCAGAGCATTCTGTTTGAGAAAATGGGCCTTCACTTCTGGCTCATTTCACTACTTGGCCTGACCTAGACACAATGCAATTGTTTGCAGAACAAGCTGTACTGCCTTTGCCAAGCGGACCTGGCATCCAAGTGCAAAGCTGATTACATCAGATCCCCAACAGCCCCTCCTCTGGGAACTCTGTGACTGGTCAAAGGTGGGAACTGAGTTGGCTCCCAGTCAAATAGTTTCGTTAAGGAAACTATGAGTGCCCTGGTAGTTTGTGCACGTCTGTTTTTTAAAAAAGACTAAGTCCAGTTTCAAAAGAGGAAAGAAGGCCTTCTTTTTGGAACTTCTCTTTTCAAAACAGTATGCAGCCCCTAGCCCAGATGTATGAAGTCCTTCCTTAGCTCCTACTGTACTGCATCAAATAACACTAAAGCCAACTTGAGTTCTGAGTTTCAAAATGCAAACTGGTACCTCTCTGAGGCTCCCGTTGCACTTGGGGAGACCAGATATGTTGAGCAATAGTGATGCGCAAGACCACACATTTCCGAGAGGGAAGGCCCAGCTGGACCCAAGGCCCCAAGGAGATATGAGCTCCAGAAATCAGAGGACCAGTCACGCACACTGTGCAACCTCTAGGCCAATGTCCTCATGTGAAACCAGAATAAAGAAGAAAAACTGCCAACAGTGCCATTATGGGTTTTGGCTTATGCAAAGGGAGTCTTACAGGTTGCTTGTTGCTTTCTGTTTACAATCAGCTCTGGCAGCTCTGGCTGGGAAATCAGAAGCCCCACCCCTCAGCTGGTTCACATGTCAATCATTAGTCAATAAATGGGCATGCAGCTTTGTATACCTGGAGCAAAGTTTCTAGATGGACCAAGTCAGTTTGGAATAGTACAGGGACCTGTTCTCACAGAGCTCACACCCTGGCAAGGAAGGCAGAGACAGACCACAGTGTGACACAGGAAAGGATGGGTGAGCAAAACACCACACAGAGTAGAAGATAGGATGAAGGACAGATGACTGTGAACTGGGGACTCAGGAATAGCACTTAGGCTAAGATCTGACATGTGATACGCCAAACAGGGAAGAAGAGTTCTGGCCTGAGGACAGCACATGGGGGAAGCAGAGAGCTGGCAGGCCTGAGATATGGGCATCAGGCAAGATGCAGGCCAGGACGCGAATCCTGAAGATTGAGGGGCCAGGGTGGGGCAGAGGCTGGAACCCCCTGGCAGGACCTCTCAGAGCACTGCAAGGTGCTCGAACTTTAGCCAACGTGGAATCAAAGCCCCTGCAATGACATCAGCCTGGCAAAGGCACGCTCGATTCTACCTACTTTGTGAAAATGGACTGTAACGGCACTAGAGTCGATAAAGGTGGGTGGCTTAGGAAGAGGGGTTTGGACCTGGGGCAAGGTGCCTCAAATTGAATCCTAGTGGGGCTCAGCCTACAGGGACAACTCATTGCCATCTGTACTGGCACATGCAAGGGCGATGCTTACCTGGTTAAACCTCCGGGTAAAGGCCACGACGTTGGGGGCAAGACTATGCTTCTCCTTCTTACTCCATCCACAGCTGGCTAGTTCCTAGGAAGCACAGAATCATTTTCAACAGGAATTCTAATCACATTACAAAATACACCACGGCCTCTCATTAGAAGGTAAATGCAGAGGCAGAACGGGGCTGAAGGCTTTGACCCTCCTCCCATCTTTACCAGGAGGGAGCTAAGGGCTGGGTCTGCAGGTGGCTGCATGTGCAGGAAACAAAGAGAAGTACTTTTCTCCGTATCTATGGCCACATTTTCCAAGATTTCTTTGTCAAAATATTCTTAATCCCACCACATTCCCTCTGCCAGTTTCTCTGGGACTAAAATTCTTTTCTTACATGTGAATTATCTGAGAGGGCATAAATGTTTTAACCAACAGCAGGACTAGTTCTATCATAAATGTGAATCCAGGGCTCCAGGCTAACAAAATTAAAATCTAGTCAAGAAATCTCAGATTTCACTGGGCATGTGACATCCAGCCTCCATCTTGGAGTTAGGCAAAGTCTTAGTCCAGGCCTACTGCAACAAGAGAACTTCTTGGACACCCTGGGACTCCCCTCTAGGAGACAAAAGGGAAGGCTCCTATTAGTGTCTTGTTCAGGGGCCTTGTCTCTACTTTTTCAACAGCCTTATCATCCTAATTTGAAGAATCAAATTACATAGGTTTACCTATCAGTAAGGCTGGTTCCTATCTGAAGATAATGAGAATAACCTGTTACAATAAGGGTTATGTGGGGATATATAAAAGGACCAAGGCAAAGCCATTTATCCAAAGGCCCAGCATTCCCAGCTTGCACACCAGTGGCAGTAAATGGAGAAAATGTAGCTGATATCAAAGTTCTTTATCCTGACTTCAGAGATCTCCTGTTAATTCATATCAGCCCTCAGTATTATTAGTAACTTTTTTGCCACACAGTTGGAACTTTTTAAAGATCTTTGGTGAGTGAACCCAACCAGCAGGAATAGATACAAATTAGGAAAGTCTAGGTGTGCAGTGGAACTGCAAAGACAAACCTTGCTAGCTGGGCAGTTATGTCTAAAGTGCTGTGCTGGTCAAATGCATCTAGAAGATCCAGTGAAAACCCCATATAATCTTCCCAAAATTACAGGTATCATACCACAGCAATATATGCACATGTTTATAGTGGCACCAGTTGTAACAGCCAAATCTTGGAAACAATCCAAATGCCTATCAACTGGTGAATGGATAAAGATGACACAGTTCTTTTACACAGTGGAGTACTACTGTGCCATAAAGCATGAGCTTGAGACATTTCTAGGTTTCAGTGAACGCACCATGAGACCATTCTCTAAAGTGAAATAAACTGGACACATTTGTTAAGCACTGCAATCTCTGGTGTGAGAAACTGAAAGTGTAAATATGGACCAAAATATATAAAAGGTATTCTGGAAGAGGAAGAAAATGTTCAAATGGGAAGGAAAACAATGAAGGGGGGCGCTGGGGATTTAGCTCAGCGGCATAAGTGCCTGCCTTGCAAAGCAGGCAGTCGTGAGTTCGATCCCCGGTACCAGTGAAAATGGAAAAAAAAAAAAAAAACCAATGAAGGGAAGGAGAAAATAAAGAAGGAAAAAAAAACGAGAAAAGAAGGAAAATGGAAAAAAGTTTTTGTACATGGGAAGGGGAGGAGAAGTTAAAGGGAGGTTAAAGGAATGAGGAGAAAAAGAAACAAGTTACATCATGTACAGGTAAAATTCTCCATGATGACTGTGTCACTATGTACATTTAGAATGTACCAATAAAATCTGATTGGAGGAAAAGAAAAAAAAGAAAGAAAAGTCCCACACATGTGCATGTGGGACCCTGGCTGAAGGCAGTGGGCAGCTTTGGCTACAGATATACAACCTGGAGGCAGGACAGCAGGGGACCAGCCAGGACCTAGAATACAGCTCTTCCTGGGCTGCCTCCCACCCATAAATGGCATCTCTGTACTCAGCCACAAGAGACCACAGCCAACTTGCCAGGTCCTTCACACCCTCCAACTAAGAGCAATGGAAGCAATTAACCTAACGTCTCCGTTTGGTGAGAATTCCCCCCAAGCAGGCCTAGACCAGGCTCTCCACCTATGTCAACATGTAATTCTCATCACTCCTAATTTTAACACACAGGAGAAGGGCTCAGTGTTCATTTTCTTGAATGAAGACCATGAGTCTACTTCTCAAAATCAAACACGAATCTCTTGGTGATGTAGCATTTACCTCTGTTTACTATGATTCTCCTTGCTCTGAAAATGAATATTTATGTTTAATTTCCAATGTGTATTTGACCTGCATCACTGACATTACTCCTCTCCCCCATTAAAACATATACTCAAGCTGGATGTGGTGACACAGGCCTATAATTCCAGCTCCAAAAGGAGATTGAAAGGTGAGTCTAGCCAGGCCAATTTAGCAATTTAATGAGACTCTCTCAAAATAAAAAATATAAAGGGCTGGTGGCATAGCTCAGTGAGAACGCCTGGGTTCAATGCCAGGGCTGCACACACACACACACACACACACACACACACACACACACACACAAGCACAGACTTGAGTCATGCTGCACACGTGTGTTACTGCTCTGTTAGAACCTGTCGGGACAACGGCCTCTTCCCCTGAGAACTCCGAAGCCAGTTCTGGGAAAGCCTGGGTTACAACTGAATATAAAGCTCAGCTCATACACTGACATTCAGGACTGGGGCATGGTTGTTACCTAATTTCTCTTTGGATAGCTGCTCCCTCCATATTTTTTTTTTAAATATACCAGAAGGAATGTGTGTGTGTGTGTGTGTGTGTGTGTGTGTGTGTGTGTGTCCCTTTAAGTGTCTGCAGTTGTGTTTTCACACCATGACAGCTTGAGAAGACCCCTAGATAAGGATCAGTGTGCACCCACAGTTACACGGACTTGGTCAGACCCTGGCTGTCCACACTCCAGCCGCATACTGCTGATTTTCTCAGATCTCCCATGTTGCCATCTGGCACTTTACCAAGTGCATGGCAGGCGCTTGGTAAAGGCTGTTCTCCCCTCCTGAGGGACACTGCTGTGAAACAGCCGAAGAAGCGTTCAGCTTCAGCTCCAGCCACCACTACCATATTCCTTTTCTGACGCCACAGTCCCACTGCTGTCTTGAATTATTAACAAAATCTGTTATTTCTCATTTGTTTTGTTGATGTCACATAGTTAGGGGCCAAAGCAGGTACTTTATCCATCTTCCTTGTACTAATTTGGTTTGAACATTTCAAAGACCCTGATTCAACAGGGTCTGAGGGCTTGGCAATTCCCTAAGGAGACTGTTGCCCAGAAGACAGGTAACATTCAAATTAAAAACTCGACAGTGTGAAACACTGTTTCGAGATGCTTTGATGCAATGGAGGGAATAAAGACCAACGACCAGTCTTGTCACGTTTCCTAGGCATCGGTACCATCTCTGATGACAGTGGGCTGAAAGCACTCAAAGGATGGCAGTGGGAACTGCAGGAGGAAGAGCCCAGCATGGTCACAGTGTCTGGCTGTTCAGTGAGCAAGGTCTGAGTATCCCTCTGTGCTGAAACTCTCAATGTTGGGGAAGAAAGGTTTGTCAGGGTGTCAGAAGAAATCAGACAATTCTATCCTCACTAAATTGAGTTCTAGGCCCAACCTCAGAGCACTGTTTCCCTCCTGTGTTTGGCTTTATAAGATTTTAAGATTCCATCTGTGTGAAAAGGGTTTGGAAAATGTGAAGTAATAGAACACAACTCTTCCAGTCACTAATGTCTAAAATGTCCATGCTACAAACTGAGGTGACTGCAGTTCAGTTAAAATTGACCAGGGGAGACAAGAATGGCTCTTGATGGGAGATGGGGGATTGGGGCAGAGGCCAAGAAGGCCTGGGCTACATGCACTCCCTCCCCAGGGTGCAGGCCTGCAGCTCACATGGATGCCCGGGTTCTGAGTTCTGGGCTGAGGAAAGGAAGTTGAGCACCTGCACAATTCTCTGCCACTGTCTTTGGGGATCTTGCTTCCTTCATAGAGACATTCCCAGGATTCTTTGGGGAAAACAAAAGAAAACTTTGTCACTAAGCTTTCAATTCCCCTGGTTCCTCTGTGCCTCTGCTTCCCTCCCTAGGACTGGGCTGACTCTTTGCCCATTTGCCCACCCAGAAGCCTTGGCTGTGTCTTCAACCTCTCCCTCCCAGCCTCCCCTTCCTGCTAGTGATTCAGTATGTGTAAGTCACTTCCCAGAACAATGGTAACAGTAAGGGGTGTCTTCTAGGTGCCCCACAGTCTCCCCCAGCTCCTGCTTTCTTCACAAGTGTGAATTTCCCGAGCTCCGCTTGCCTTTCCCATCTGCCTCCTCTATGCGATACTTGCCTCAAACTGCTCTTTCCACTTCCAATTTGTGACACCACAGCCCTGCCCAGGTCTGTCACTGGTCCTTACCTTTGCACTCTGCTTTTTCCTGCTTGCCTTCCCACCCCAGGTCCCTCAGCCTCAGTCCTGTTTCCCAGTTGCTCTTTACTTTTCTGTCGTATGCCTCCAACCCCACCAGCTCTGTCGAGGCTTGCCTTCTACATCCTTGTGTCTTTACTTACTTCACAAACATGCCAAGTCTTCAGCTGTGTGTTTCTGTGCCACCCAAGTTCCCATCCTGAGCCCCGAGCAGGATCCCAGCTACCTCCTAGCCACAACCCCTCAGTACCCGATAGGCATCTCAAAATCAATAGGCTCAAGCTAAAAGGGTATCTACCTTAAAGAAAAGCTCAGAGCTGGGTGTATAATCCCAACTACTTGGGAGGCTAAGGCAGGACAGTCACAAGTTTCAGATCACCCTGGGCAACTTAATGAGATTCTATCTCCCCAAGAAATTGTGGAAGAAGGAAACTGGAGATATAAAACTCAGAGCTCCCTGTGTTCAGTTCCCAGTACTGCACAAACAAAACAAAACAAAAACTGTGACATCATGCAATTCATTTAGAAATTCACTCTGACACAGTTGAGTGTTTGTGAATTATTGTGCATGGAAAAGTCCCTAAGCTGCAAAAACAGCTTCATCTTGACCC